TTTTTTTTTTTGCTTTCCTTCTGCAATCCCACTGTGTGGCGGCGGCGTGATTACAAACAGGACGTCTATGAGTCAAAACTAGTTGAACCGTATGCCTTGATGTGGATCCGTGTCCCCCGTGTCTGACTGCCGCCACGCCGCCCCCTGTGACCTGTACAATGATGCTATTCTGTGTTCTGCAATGCCGATCCACGTGAGCGAGAGACGACGCTTTGACTACTGGCAACTGACCCGCACACCCCTCTCCATCCCTTTCCACCCCTTTCCTTTCCTCTTCACCGCACGTTGACTGCGTGTGCTTTTGGATCGCACTTCATGGGAGCATTCGCACATTGGGAGCGGGATCTTGATATGCCGTGTTTGGCTCTTCTTCGGTCGTGCACGTTTCTGTGAAGGCCTCTCCGAAGTTTAGTAATGTTGCTCAAGAGTTATTCTAGTGATAAGTGTTTCGTTAAACATATGTTTCTTCGGCTGCGGCACGTGTGGTGGCCTTGTTGAGCTCGTCTTGCCGGTGTTACCACTGTTTCTGTGATGATGTGAAGTGCTCTGGTGTGGCCGGAGCGAAAGGGGATTTGTCTTTGGTGCACGAATTTTGTATTTTTTCTCCTGTCCTTTGTTTTTGTGGTGTGAAGAAAAGACAACTCGTACCAGTTGTATTTAGGCTTAGTGAGACAGTTTTTTTTTTTAGTAATAATAGTAGTAGTATTAAGATTAACGACTATATTATTTGTGGGAGGATCGAGTTAATACTTTTACCGTTTGTGGGAATCCATCTAACAAAGGAAGCAAGAATTAACTGAGTGGGTGTAACAGTTGGCACCTAAGAGAGCCTCTTTTTGATCCAATGCGTTCGACGGCAGGGGTGCGACCTTGTAGACAGTGTCGTCTACGGCGCGGCACTAATGTGTTTTCTTCAAAGTCACTGCTGTTGCTGCTGACTGTGACTCTGCTGCTTGCCACCTGTGCCTGGCTCCCTGTGGCGCACGCTATTCCGTTCCGAGTGCAAGGCGGCACTATCGACAGCGCCATCGTTGTTGGTCGTGCCGTGGACAGCGTGCTACTGGATGGTGTGTTGATCAGTAACGGCGTGTCGGTGGTGTTTGATGTCACTGCGATGCTCCCTGGTGCGGTGCGCATTGAGCTGAGGGACTGCGTGTGCAATGGTGGGTCGCAGATCTATGTATTGGGGTTCGATGGCGAGCCAACGAGTGACCGGAGTCTGGAAGTGAGTGTGGATAGATTATCTGGTCGCTTCTGCTCACTCGTCTTGGCACACAACCTGCCTCCGCAGACCAACGTGACAATCCGAGACTCTACGATCGTGACGACGGGACCCGTGAGCTAC